AATGAGGGGCGAGGAGGAGGAAATTGGGGGGGCGGAGGCGAGATGAGGGGAAAGGGGATGGAGGTGATGGGGCTGAGGAGGTGAGAAATCAAGTTCGATGAAGCCGACTGCCGGGTGGAGTCCGTTGGGGGCCAGGAGTGGCGATGCGGAGCAGTTGAGTGGCGGGTAGGAAGACCCCGGAGGCGCAGATCTTGGCCAGAGCCTTTGGAACACCCAGGGCAGCAGCTGCGAACCGGCGCGGGAGTGTATTTGGCCCAGCAAGCGGGGGACTTGAGTTTGCAGCGTGGAGTCGGGTCCCTTGGGGCTCCACGTCCTGGGTGCGCTGGCGCCCCCTCCCAGTTTGAGTCCCGCGGCAGAGCAGACTGGGTTCAGCCGTCCAACCCCGGGGCCGGCATTGCCCGGCGCTGCTGCCCAGCCCTCTCGCCTTCTCACCGCCACCTCCTCGCATCCACTCCCTACTGCTATTTGCAAAGCTCTCTTGTCCCTCGCGCTTCAAAGTGCCAGGAGGTAAGTCGAGGGCAGCGGATCTCAGGGCAACGGATCTCGAGCCTGCGAATCGCAGCCACTGCCGCCGCCCGCCGGCCGCGAGAAGGAGCCCCCGCACGCCGTGCGCAGCTTCCGAAGCCAAGAGGCCGCCCCTGTCTAGGGAGATCTCGCCTGGTCTCGTCCTCGTGGACAAGGAACCCCCTTCTAGGTCGGATGAGTTTGAATCCGAGACGCCAGAGAGCCGCCGGCTGATCTGCCTGTCGTTATTTTTTGTAACTTCAGGAGAGGAGGAAGGAAAGTTCTTCAGAGTGTGCTGACTTCTCAGCACTCTTCTCTCTCCTCCCCCCACCCCCACGTCCGCCTGAGCGACTCCCAGGGAAAAAGAAAGATTTCGCACGGTTTGGGTGCTTTTAGCCTTAAGTGACACAAAAAATGGGATGGGGAGAGGGCTTGTCAAAATAGGTTTTAGAAACTCAAGTGAATAGCTGGACTCTCTTTTTCTTACATATTTAGTCTTGTCATTCCTAGAGAACAAGGACTAGTTTTTTAAAGGACTGGAAAACCATCAGGTTGATGATTAAAATAAGTTGCAAAAGCCCTTGCTTGGGGGGGGGGGGGGAACAGACGGAAAAGCCCGGTTTTGGGGGGGGGGGGGGAACAGCAGTTGTCCTTTAATTTCACTGTTTATTAAATCTATTCTACATCTAGAGCTGTCCAGTATCTTAACTTTTTTCCTCTCCCCTCTCGAGGGAAAAAATTGAAAATAAAAAAATAAAAAATTCAGAATGTTTCTATGGCTATTTATTTATGTATTTATTTCCCAATGTGGGTTAAAAAAGCGACTTTGGATCCCCCCAAAAGTTGTGGTCAAGAGGATGAAGGAGCGCGGAAAAAAAGCGGCAGTTTTTACCTAAAATGTGGTTTTTGGAGGCTGGGATTTCTAATGATTAGGTTTTTGTGGTTTATATAGACACGACTCTGGCTAAGGCGATCATTACGCTGATGAGAGTCAGAAGCACGTGGGTGTCTCCGACCAGCCTCAAACTCTGAGCCTTCAAAACAAATAAAACAATGTGTGGCGCCCGCAGAAGCCGGGAAATCCGCTTGGGGCTATCGCACCCCAAGAAGGGGGCGCGGGGCCCTTTTACCCTCTGCGCTGTGTACGGTGTCTTGCTTACTAGCAAACCCTTTTAAGTCTTTCGAAGTTTGAAAACGTGTTTGCAAAAAGAATCAACAGTTGCCAAAGTGTCAAAGATACCTAATAGGTAGCCGACACAGTAATTAGTGATTTTATAAAATAAATAATAATTTGGAATGCCTCCCCCTCGGAAAACTGAGGAAGAAAGATTGTGGGTCATCACTCATCCCCTCCCATCTTATGTAAAGCATTTCACATCCCCATTAATTGGTGTTTTTATTGCTCAGCACCAACGCCTGCCTCACCCGGGTAGCGACCTGCCGCGACCCTCCCTCGTCGGTATTTAAAGCATTGCTTCCGGTAGCTGAACTCGAACCCTGGGTCTGCGCCTTCGCGGGGCCTGGAAGGGTGGGGGGCGGAAGAGGGGGGCTTGCTGCCTGTCGCGGACTCTCGAGCCCTTTGCCCGCACAAGATGAGCGTGGAGGGCTCTGGCTGCGTGGCTTGACCAGGATTGCCTAGGAAGATACTGTAAGGGCCGCGGGGTGTACAGACATGCGGGAGGAGGTGGGCGTGGGGGCAGCTAGGCGTGGTATCGCCGAGGCCAGGATGGGCACTACTCTGTTCTTCCTCTTGGAGGCTTGCTTTTTACGTTCCTTGTCTCCATTCTCATCTCCGCACCTCCCTGTCTGTCTTTTCCTCTCCATGATCCCACCTCTGTCCCAAACGCCTCCACAGACTCCAGCCTCCCCGCCGCGCCCCTCAGCCTTTCTACCGCCGCCTGCTACAGCCTCCCTCGGTGATGCCAAGGAGCGATTCTTCACCACCCGCTATGGCATCCCCTCTCCAATCCTCTCCTCGCTCTAGCTTACGAGCGCCTCCAGGGTTCAAGAACCCATTTATCTGGACGAACTATATACTAACAGATGCTCAGCGAGGAGCCGAGCCGTCCCTTCCGTGTGCAATTTTTAATTATCTTTTTGGTCACAGGGGAGAGCTCTAACCCCGGGCAGCCGGGTCCTGCCCTGGGCTTGCCCGGGGCCCTCGTGGGCATCGGTAACGGCCCACGTGCGCAGCCTGCACCCCGCGAACACCAGTCCCCGGCCCCGGGGCCGTAGAGTTCAAAAGAGCCGGGGAAGAAACGCCGAGGCCAACGGAGGGGCGTTCGGGCTGGGAGGGAGCTGGTGGGAACGCGCGGAATCCCAGAGAGGCGGCGTGGGTGCCTGTGGTGCCGGCCGGGCGCGCCGGGAGGGAAACTCCGGAGTCCCGGGGGAAAGTGCGGGGCCTCCTCACCCAGGGGAAGGGAGAGCAGCCAACCTGGGAAGGAAAACCAGGCTTTCCTCTTCACTTTTTCTTTTTTCTTTTTCTTTTTTTTTTGAAAAGAGAGAGATGGTATTCATTACCCTCTTGCACACCGATTACACTGGGACACTTACACTCTCACACATTCATACACTGACACTCATAAACACACAACTCATACATGCCTATAGCTTTTTTTTTTTTAATTTTTTTTGGAGAGATTTTCACTGTAGGGCACGTGCGCTCGCCAGACAGACAGAGAGAGACATAGAGACAGAAAGCGAGAAATCACCCCCCAGGGGGGATGGTCACGCCGCAATCCCTTCTCCATTCTCCTCTCGGGATCTTGGGATCTTGGGCACGCACGCACACGCGCCTGCACACGCGCCCGCACACGCGCCCGGCGTGAGATTTAAGCCACAGGGTCCGGGACACGAACCGCGGTCAACTACGTGGGAGTCCAGCGACATAGCCATTACGCTAACTGCTGGGTCCCATGCCTATAGCTTTTTACCCTTCCTCTTCTCTCTCTTTTTTTCCTTTTAGGGATCAGTTTTATTTGGAGGTGCTGTATTGCTAACAAATATCTCTTGTTTTGTTTTTAAACGTAGGGGGGGATGCAAGGGGTGGGGGGAGTTAAAGAAAACAGATTATTTCTCTGGTCAAAGAGAAATAGAAATTCAGTAACTAAGTGGTGGGTGATATGCCACCACCTTCTCTGGGCTTGTTCTTTACCTTGCAGGAAGTCCATAGATCAGGGAAGTCCCCAACATTTGAATAGATTGACAGTCAATATTTCAGATATGGGCAGCCAGATGGACTTTTATGAATATGAAATTCTAGGGCTGTTGGAAGTTAAGAAATCATCCTGGAAGCTTTTCTTCTTTCTTTCTCCCTAGCTGTTTTCTCTTTTTTTCACTTGGTGAGTATTAAAACATGCAGGCTTCAATGGTTGGATATTTTAAGGGCAATTTAATCAATGGTGAGACTATTTATTTTAATTAATCATATCCAGTAATTCAGTTTTATAGCCTTCCTTAGCATCCTCCCTCCATTTCACATTTCAGTGGAACTAATATAAGCAGCTCTTGGAAGTTACTAGTCTTGGATCCCTTAAAATATCCTACAGTTATTTATAATGTGGAAATGAAATTTTCCACTGAATACCCTAACATCGTTTCAGGTATCTGGCAGAGCGGATTTTCAGTCTCCTTTCAAAAATATCCTCTTGCTGAACATTCACACTTTCAACTGACTGACTGAGCCTGGAACTGATGATGTCTTGGCTCTGAGCATTACACTTAAAGAAAAAAAAAATTTTCTAACATACCCCCTAAACCAAACCTCTCCTGGTAATAGCAGACACACAGGAAAACCATGAGGTTTTAGATATGTGTATTCGGTGCCATAGTTGGCTTGATCTCACCCATGGGGTTAAATTTTCTCCTACACCAACATGTTCAGAAGAAAACACTAGATTCCTCGTCAAAAATACTCAGCTTTGCACTTGTGCGTTATGGCATAAAAAATAACACACATTTTTAATTTGAAAACTGTAGCTACTCTGGAAGACAGAGTAGACATCATTTCCCCTTCTACATCCTTTTAACATTTAATATAACTGCTTAGGGAAAACATTTAGCAATTTTAACTTTTCAGACAAAGAAAAATACGATGGAAAGCAGTCACATTATTTACCCGAAGAACTGAAATCCTGAACTGGAGGAAAAAAAAAACAAAACAGAAAACAAACAAAAACATGTTTCTTTCATCCTGGTTTCCTTTTTTTAACCCTCTACATGTTTTCATTATATATTTTTCGTGATGAAAAGTGGAAAAGGTCCCTATAAAATCTGACTTTTTTTTCAATGGATCAGTTAATAAAGTGGGACAACCAATAGAAAATTATGAATAGATAAATGATCTCTAAAGCTTTGAATGTGCCACATGGGAAGACTTTATAAACACATCCATCTTTATGGAATATTCTTTTGGCCTGTGATTGAGTGAAGGTTAGCCCCTGAAGAAGGAGCATTGCCACTAGACTGGGAGTCATCACACTATGATACATAGGTCAAATCTGGCCTAACGTATGTGTTTGTACAACATAGAAGTTAAGAATGGGTTTTGCATTGTTTTAATACTTAAAAAATTAAAAGAATATTTGATACATGAAAATAATAAATATTAATTGTAAATTTTAGTGTCTACAAATAAAGTTTTACTGAAATACACCTATGTTCAGTCATTTATATATTATCTATATCTGTGTTCATCGAAAACAGCAGAATTATGGTGCTGTGACAAAGAGTATATGGCCTGCAAAGCCTGAAATATTTACTCCCTGATTCTTTACGAAAAAAGGGTGCCACCCTCTACCCTAAAGCAAAAGGCAGGAATCTAGAAAGACAGGACAGTAGAAAGGAGTAGATATCAATGAGGATATTAGGATGGAGTGTCCATAAAGTTCAGAATAGCTCTTTAAAAGTGAAAATGTATCAATTAGCGTACTCTTTTCTGCATAAAAATGTTAATTAATTAGACTTATGGTATTCACTTGATAATTTCAGATGTGCCGAAACAGAGAAAAGAATGAAGAGTAAGTACATTTTTGTGGGATCTTTAATAACAATTGTCTTATATATCTATATAGGTCAACATCTCCCATTTTCATTATATAAAATGGGAGCAGTATTAACTGCATAGATGAGGAAAAATTGAAGACATTCATGTAATCGGAACATGAAAAAATAGCTAAGAATTTAACTGGTTTATTCCATCTCTTTTACATAGGATTACACAGAAACACAAATGAACTTACCAAGAATTTTCTGGTAGACAATATATTCACAAGTCCTATATGCACTTTTAAGATGGCTTAATCACTTAAGTGATCCCAAAGCTTTCTGACATACTTTTTCCATTTTAATTTTTTTATACAGTTAAACACTGTCTGATTTGTTTTAAGCTTAGTAAATTTTTCCCATTGTCAATGGACCTATAATAATTTGCATGGTTGTAACAGGAGATGAAATGTTTGTAGTAGAGGACTTAGCATCATAAACCTTTCCTTGCAGGTCTAGTTAGCATTCCCATGGGCCATTTTCAGGCACTTATAAGAGAGTACAAGTTGTCATAAAAAGGCTGACACTCCCTGTAAAAATAGGTAAGACTTATTTATGGAGCACCTATCTAATTGGTCTTCAGGAGTGGGATTGAGGTATATATTTTGTCAATTTACTATATAACATCCTATTTATCAGAAGAAACTGATGTAAATTTTGAGAAGGGTCTAATTAATTACTCTGAAGTCAGAGAAATAGAGTGAATTTTCCTAAATCAGCCCTCTGGTATTTGGGTGTTGGCAATTGGCCTATGGCAGTAGCAGTGATCTTGGAGCAGCAGTGGAATGTGACATATAAAAGTTTACAGAGGTCTGTGATGAAACTTCTAAGAACACTCTAAAATTAAATGTTTCCTGTAGTAATTCAACCATTCTTTATTAATCTGCTCACATATTACCTTCAAAGCATCAAGGGAGGTGGTATCCAATTCTAA